AGGTGGTGGGACAGTGGGTGGGGAGTGAGGGCGGGGGTGGGGCGGGAACTGGGAGGAGGGGAGTTATGGGGGGAAAAAAGAGGAACAAATGTAATAATCTGAACAATAAAGATTTAAATAAAAAAAAATATCGCAAAGAAAAAAATACATTTATTGATTTTTTTTCACAATGTAAAACTTGAAATAATTGGCCATGAGTCTCTGGAAATTGGAGGGAAGTTCTAATTTTTGGCATTGTGGTGGACTACATGTGAGGCTCTCCTGCTGCACAAGACCCCGTCTGGGACATACACATTAAAGCACTTTGAGTCTCATAGGAAGTTGGGGAGCAGGCAAAAATCCATCAAAACCAATGAGCCAGAAACTGCAGGCAGAAGGGAGGGGTATGGGTGCCCTGAGGGGAGATGCCGGAAGTTGTCAAGAGTTTGAGCTTTGCGCCAATCAGCAGAGTGAGGGGAGGGGAAACTGATCCTGGTCTCCTCTTACTTAAGACTTGCAAGGAAGGACTTAGTTGGTCCCAGAATATGATGCCTCCAGTATAGGCAGAAGTGAATCCTCTGTGGAGTCAAGCCTTCCTAGCTTTGGCCTGCAGAACTCACAGATTAACAAGCAATAAGCTCAGAAAGATCACCATAAATATGAAGCCAGACACTATGCATGAGCATCAAAACAGACAATAAACATTTGAACTTCTAAGGATTGCAGATATGGGAGTTCTTGTAGATATTAACATGGCATCCTTTAAAAAGGGCACAATAAATGATCAATAATGAACAAGCTGATTAAAAGAAAAAGACAGAACTTTTAGATATAATTATGAAAATTTAAAGAAATCAGTGAATGAATTCAACGGTAAATTAGAAATAGCTGAAGAGTGAACATGCAAATATACATGAAAAATTATCCAGATTGCAGCAGAGACATAGAAAATGCAAAAGACAAAGCTATGAAGGACCGAATGAGGTTTAACATGTCTAATTTGAATCCCAGAGAGAACAAACAGAATGGTGATAACTGTTGTAAAATTTCAAGAATTGATTAAAAAGATGAATCCAAAAGTCCACAGATCCCGGAAGCAAGTCAAATGTATTCCAAAAGCAGTTGCCTTCTAAAAGATATGCTATCTGCCCTAGCTGCTTTGGCTAAGTGGATAAAACATTAGCCTACGGGCATATGCCCTTTGATTTAGGTTTAAGGGCACATGCCCAGATTGTGGGCTCGATCCCCAGTATGGGTGTATAGGAGGCAGCTGATCAATGATTCTTTCGTCATTGATGTTTCAATCTCTCTCCCCCTCTCACTTCCTCTCTGAAGTCAATAAAAATATATTAAAAATAAAAATTAAAAATAAAGGATAGGCTACCTAAACCACAGACACAGACAATAGGGTGGTGAAAGCCTGGGGCAGAGGGCGGGGGCAAGTTGGAGGGGGCTAGTGGGGGGGAAGGGGGGCATACAGCATTGCTCAGTGGTTGACCATTGACCTATTAACCAGGAGGTCAATTAGATTCCGGTCAAAGCACATGTCTGGCATGCGGGAGGTAGCCAATCAGTGATTCTCTCTCATCATTGATGTTTCTATCTCTCTCTCCCTCTCCTTTCCTCTCTGAAATCAATAAAGAAAATATATTAAAAAATAAAAATAATCAACCAAGTTTAAACTGTATAAAAATTAACTGGTCAAAGGCATATAGTTTGCTATTCCTTCCACATATTGTCTATTAACAGTGTAAACAAAACATTGATGCATTATGACTATCTAGGGAAATAATGCATACTATAGCTAGTACGTAGTTATGAATTTGAGTTATTGATTTACCCTGTACACTTATTATGTTAGGATTAATTTCATATGCTCTTTCTACAGTGAAACTTTCTGACATTAATGAGAATATGGGAAAAAGATACTATGATTTATCCGCTCATTCTTTCAGGATATGAGTGCCCCAAATATGCTAGGTACTGTTTCATGTGTAGGATGCAGGAAGACATGAAGCAATATAGTATACTACAAAGTTAAGGCAGAGGTTGCAGTTTGAAACAGGGTGACATGGATGGGCTCATCGAGAGAACTCTTGGGCAATGACCAGAAAGTTGCAGAGGGGTATGAGGATTTCTGGGAATGTCCAGACCTAAGAAAAACTATGTGCAAAAGTCCAAAGGTGAAAACATGGCTAGAATATTAAAGTGGCTGCGAGGCGGCAATGTGGCGCCTATGAGGAAAGTGGAAGGTGAAGAGTTGAAAGCGGGTCAGATGGCATAATCACTTGTAGACCTAGAAGGACTTTGAGTTGATATTGAGTCAAATGGGAAGCCTCTGGCAGGAATTCAGCAGAGGGTGTTGATTATTTTTTTAGATTTAAAAAAAAAATGAATACTCTGTTCCTATTCTGACAAATGACTACAGGTCTGGTGAAGTAGAGACAGAAGCCAAGCAACAAGTCATAGTCTCTTACAATAATATGAGGGTTGTGAGAGAAATAAAAAAGGGTTCCAAAGCTTTGGCCTAAACAAACAGAAAAATGCAGTTGCCACTTACTAGCACAAGAAAGAGAATGAAGGAAAAACAGGTTTTGAAGTGAAGGTCAGGATTTTTAACCATATTAAACTTCAGATATCAAGTGAAGATATCAGAATGGTGGGTGGATATGATTTTGGAATTCAGATAAAAGGCCTGAAGGTATAAATTTTGGAGTCAAGAACATATGGATGATGGCAATCATGACCTGAGAGATGAGACAAATGACTTGAAAGAACTGGTCAATACTGATTCCAGATAGCATTGGAAAAGACAGAAAAGGCTTGCCAATCTATCCGCTCTGTTATGTCTTTGTTAGAAAAGTCAAATGCTAAAGCAGCCCAAATTTGAATTGGGAAAACTCATGGAGATTCACGGTGAAATTAAGAGTTCTAGAAAAGCTACTAGGGATGAGACAGGTATTAAAGTTGAATGAGCTGATGGATATGAGTCCCTGGCCCCAGAATCTATTTAAAATTCAGATTTAATGGTGACAAATAAAAAATCCTACTTATGAGGGGGGGAAAAAAAGCACTCCCATGAAGGCAGATATAGCAGCTTTGCCCAACATTATTACTGAAGAAATTAAAAAATAATGTGAGTTAAATCTTATAGTAAGTAGTAGTGGTGTCCAGATTAGAATCCAAAATCTAGATTACTTGTAGTCTTTTTATTTTCATTTTTAAAGATTTTTAAAATTGATTTTTAGAGAGAGAGGGAAACATCAATGTGAGAGGAATTGGCTGCCTCCTTCACACCCCCTACCAGGGATCGAAGCTTGCAAACCCAGGCACGGGCCCTGACCTGGAATCAAACCGACAACCTTTCAGTGCACAGGACAATGCCCAACCAACTGAGCCACAATGGCCAGGGCTGTAGTCTTATTTTTATTTAACTCAACCTTATATTTTTCTTTATTTTCCCTTTAAAAAAATTGATTTCAGAGAGAGTAATGGAGAGGGAGAAGGAAACATCGATGTGAGAGACACTACTGACTGGTTGTCTCCTGCACACGCCCTGACCGGGGCCAGGGATCAAGCCGACAACTGAGGTATGTGCCTTTGACCGGAATCGAACCCAGGACCCTTCAGTCCACAGCCAATGCTCTACCCACTGAACCAAATCGGCTAGAGCTTCCAATGATTTTTAGAGAGTGGAAGGAAGAGAGGTAGGAAGGGGAGAGAGAGATGGAGAAATATGATGTGAGAGAGACACATCGACCTACTGCCCCTGGAACTCACCCGACCTGGACTGGGGATAGAAACTGTAACCCAGGTATGTACCTTTCACTGGGAATCAAACTCAAGACCCTTCAGCTTGAGGGCAGACTACTAACCACTGATGCACACTGGCCAGTGTGAAAAATAGAGACTTTTTATATAAATTCCAATCCTGCAAATAGAGTTAACAGTTTATCTTAAAAAAGTGTCACTCAAGTTTAATGTATTTTTATTTGTCCAATAAAAGTAATTTCACAATTAAAAATAAAATTTTAACTGCATTCAATTTGTTTTTTCCATTAAAGATAAAGGACTGCTAGATTCAAGTAAATGTGTAATTATGACAAACTGAAAGACTAAATCAAGTACATAAATAACATGTTAGAACATGAAAATTGTCTTTTTACCTTTTCCTTTCTAAACTAATAAAATCAGAAAAAAAAACTGTAAATAAAACCTGTTTTCTTATTGTAATTTCTGATTTATTAATTTATTTAACTGATGTTTGGTTTTAGTAATTTCTGTAAAGTGGTACTCCTTAAATAAGTTCCTAAAAATAACAATATTGAAGCCTTGAACATTACATTTAATATCATCTAAAAAAAGTATATTAAAACTGTCATAATAAAAAGATTATAATAAACACTCTAAGAAAAGTGAAATTATTCGTTATTCATTCGGTTCTATACTATTTCCCCTCTACATCTTTAATACCAGTCACAAATTCTATTGTAAAGACTCACCTTTTCTAATCTAAATAGACTGAATCAACATTTCACCTCTACACTTCACTTACAGCATTCAGTTCAGATATCTCAACATCAAATTTAATAATTTATCAAAAAATTGTTTCAAGAATAAAATTTCTATTAATTACTCTATAACAAAGCAGAACCTCTACTAGAACAAAATGGGAAATAATATACCTGTGAGTATATTCTTGTACACCTGTATTCCTGATAGTATTATTTCATAGTATAATCACAGCAAGTATACAAATTTTCCAATTTTGTGTGTAAATATTCAGTGAAATTTAACTGCATATAAAGTCATTATTAAACAAAAAAATCAAATAGCCTTATCATATGTTAAATGGCAATTCAGAATTTTATTTATAGTCTCAAGTAGTAAAAATTAAACCTAAAATAAAGTGTATTTTCAATGAACAGCCTGAATGAATATGTACTCTTGAAAAGTAATTATATTAGTGAGAAGAGAATCTATGAAAAGATTTTAAATGCTAGGATTGACTATATCATTATGCACAAACTCCAAGGACTTGAGTCCTGGTTGGAGAAAGAGAAAGGAAATCTTTCTTATATCCTGATCCATCCAGGATGAAACTAGTCATATTGTAAAGGGAAAAAAGTTATTTGCTCCTCAGAAGACATGGAAATAATCTGTAAGAGAGATAAATGTCAGCCTTTTTAGTAGCAGGGAAAACTATTAGGGCTAAATATATTCTAGAACCATCTCCTTCACAATGCTTCTAGTGACCTTTCCACGATAAATTTTTAAAAACACAATAAATGATAATGGTATCAATTGTTAGTGGGCAAAAATATTTTATTGCCTAAAACAAACCCAAGACTGAATGTAATACAGATCAGAAAATTTTTATTATTCAATATAATTAAAGTTGTAAAAAAAAAAAATTAGCCTTTTTTCCTGTTTTCATATATTAGCACTCAATTTCTGAGGATTTCAAGACAATTAATGTAGAATTTTAAAAACAGTAATAATCTCTACTGAAGCAAATAGTATATTCTGTAGTTCATTACTCTTACTCCTTCAGTAAACATAGGGTTTTACTTTTTAAAAAAATCCTCACCTGAGAATATGTTTATTGATTTTAGAGACAAAGAGAAAGAGAAAGAAAGAGAGAGAGAGAGAATAAAAGAGAAAGAGGGAGAGATCAGTTGTCTCTGTTATGTGCCCCAAATGGGGACAGAACCCAAAACTTAGGTATGTACCCTGACCAGGATTGAACCTGCAACCTTTTTGGTGTACAGGACAACTTTCCAACTGGGCCAGGCAATAAACATAGGTTTTTAAATAAGATGAAAATAAAACATTTTTCATAATCTTAAAATCTAGGTGAAACAAACATCCTTGTGGCCCAATAACTTGTAAAATGTAACCAGGTCACTAGACCAAGATACTAGTGTACCACTTTAACAATTTCTAGCAGCAAAACACCTGGAATAGCAATAAGTGTGTTCATTGGACTATAGAATAATTCCTACATAAGAAGTAATTTTAAAAAAGTATTCTATAGTTCAACTGCAGGCAAACATGAAAGATATCAAAGATCTTGTTTATCTCCACTTATTCCAGGGGAACCAGGTACAACTGGAACCTTACTAGTTTCAACAAAAACAGATTCAAAGGCAGCTTCCTGTTCATCCAAAGAATCAGCAGCTGTGGCTCCTTTAATTAGTGTTGTGTTGGTCAAAGGCTGTTGTTGCTTGGAAATTTTACTGGATTCCAGTGTTTTTCTACCTCTTCTTTTACCAAGGATTTTGACATAATTAGCAGGTATAAGTCCTGTTGTTTGACCATCAAGACTAGCCAGCAGCCAACCACGCACTCTGGGTTGCTGTTCTGATGAAAGAAAAGACAGCCTTGTAATTATAACATACTTTGGAGGTCCAACAGAAAAGTAATAGTAAAATATTAAGTAAAAGCTGTGTTACAGTTATATAATAAAATATATAAACAAATAGCATATACACATATATTCAATATCAAATGATAGACTTAACAGTTCTAGGTCCCTTCTTATAATTTATACATTTTATAATCACTAAATATTTTTCAACCTTGAAGAACAAAGTTTATATTAGCTTGCCCATTCATAGAGTAAGGAGATTCAGCTACCCCAAAAGCTGAAAACTAACATCAATGTCTTTCATATTTTAAATTGGAATTTGAGAAATGGATTTCTCAATCCTTCTCAATAGGGTAACTCAGGGGTAAGTATAGAAGATAAATGTATACCTTCAGATAAGCCAGCTTTCTTTCTTTCTTTCTTTTTTTTATTAATCTTCACCTGAGGATATTTTTTCCTTTGACTTTTTAGAGCGAGTGGAAGAAGGAAAAGAGGGTGGGGGGGAGAGGAGGGGAAGGGAGAGAGGGAGGGAAAGACAGAAAAACATCGATGGGACAGAGGCACATTGATTGGTTGCCTCCGGCATGCACCCAGAGCAGGGTAGGGATCCAACCTGCAATTCTTCAGTTCGAGGGTGAATGCTCTAAGCACTGAGAAATTCGGGCCAGGGCAGCCAGCTTTCTTTATATACCTTTGGCCAAAATATAAAATTCATTCTATATGATTGTGATGAACAATCCTAAAGACAGTGAATGTTAATTTTAATCCAAAAATGAAGACCTCTGTTATCTCCAACCTTGACAAAAAGTTAAAAGCAATAACCTAGCCTTCTGGCCCTTTAAATACAGTTCCTCATGTGACCCAACCATAAAATTATTTTCGTTGCTACTTCATAACTGTAATGTTGCTACTGTTATGAATCATAATGTAAATATCTGATATGCTGGATGGTCTTAGGCGACCCCTGTGAAAGGGTCATTCAGCTGCCAAAGGTGTCGCGACCCACAGGTTGA